GGTGACTGTCTGTCCGTCCGTCCGTCCGTCTGTGCACACGATAACTCGAGTAAAAATTGAGATATCTTAACGAAACTTGGTATGGTATGTGCACTTCTTTCGGGCGTAGGACGGGTAAAATGGGTAAAATCGGACAATAACCACGCCTACCTCCCATATAACGGTAATTTTCAGAAATACGAACACTGCGATATTTTAGTAACTACTCAAAATTGATTTTTACAATAATTTTTAGACGAAAAATAAGAATATTGTACATTTTTGGAAAATGGGCGTAGCCACGCCCACTTATGGATACATGTGTATATCTTGGTAACCGCTGCACCAATTTCTTCCAAACTTGGCACAGTTGTTAGTCTTGCTACAGCATACCAAATGGCCGAAAATTTTTAAAATCGGACAATAACCACGCCTACCTCCCATATAAAGGTAATTTGGAGAAATACGAAATCTTCGATAAATCAATAAATATTAAAGCTAATTTACTCAAAATTGATGCTTGCAACAATTCTTTACCAAGAAATACGTTTATGGTAAAATTTTGGAAAACGGGCGTGGCACCGCCCACTTATGATCACATATATATACCTCGGTAACCGTTCTACCAATTTGTACCAAACTCGGTATAGCAAGTAGAAGCAAGACGTTGAAAATTATTGGAATCAGATTCAAATTATGACCACTTTTCATATAACGGCAAATTTCAGAAATGCTTGAAACTTCAATATTTCGAAATTTAAGAACGCTAATTTACTCAAAATTTATACACACCGGCTTACCATGTAGCGGTAGCTTTCGCTAAACAATTTTGGTAAGGTTGAAATCACCATGAGGAGTTCTATCCAGTTACATTTTTCGTTTGTCTAAAGCTACTATTTCGGTATTCTACACCTTTTATAATATTTAACTTCACATTTGACATCAGTAATGAAAACGGAATATCAATTATCTGACACCGAAATTTGACGACAGTCTTTGACACGCACTACGGTATCGACATTTGGTCAGTTTTTAAAATGTAATGAACAGCTGTCAGATGAAGGCAGTTTTTGATGTCAGTGATTTTGACCCAATGAAAATCAGCCTTACCAATAAAATGAATAACGAACCTTCGACCGGCGAGCAAGAAATATTAATGTTTATTAATTTGAATCTTGTATGCATACAAAGTCCATTAAACCCTCCAATAAAAAATTTGGTGATTTTGTACTTTTTCAAATTCAGAACTTGGCAACACTGGGTTTTAACATTAAAAAAATCAAGCAATAACAGTAAAACTCTCTGCTGGGGAGAGCCGAAAACTATACCATAATGAGCGAAATAACAGCGGTATGATTGGTTTATTAATACAGAGATTGTTACTTGTATAAATAGGAAAATCTACAGACTAGAAATCATCATAAAATAATTATATTCTCACCAAGAAGTATCAAACCAAATTTAAAGATGCGCTTCTTTATCGTAAGTACTATTATTTGTAGTAGAAAAACAATAATTGAATATAACAAACTTTTATTTTGTGCAGGTTATGTGCGTAATGGCCACAGCCTCCGCTGATAAATTGGGTTACAATTATCGTCCAGTAGCTCACTCAGACTCTGGGCTCTCCTTTGCCCCTGGTGGATCTTCAGGTAGTTTTGGAGGACTCACCGGATTAAAAGGATCGAGTGGCAATGAAGGACTTAGTGGCTTGGGCAGCAATGACCACCTAGGTGGCTTTAGTGGGCTCAGTGGTTTGGAAGGTGGTCTTGGAGGGTCTGCGGACTTAGGCGGCATTGGTGCTCCAGTAGGTCGTTTTGGAAGCGTGGGCCCTTCGTATTCGTCACCTGCCGAATTCAACAAAGAATACTTCACATATACTGCTCCCGAACAGGAATTTGATAATGCTGATGCTGCTCAACAAGCTGCCAACTCATTAAAACAGAACCTGCGTGTTGTTTTCATCAAAGGACCTGAAAACCAAGGTCTCGAAAATGCAGCCCTCCAATTGGCCAAGCACGCTGCCGAAGACCAAACCGCTATCTATGTTTTGCAAAAACAGAGCGACATCTCGGATTTGGCTAACAAACTCAATGCGATTCAAAGTCAAAGCAGCCACAGGCCCGAGGTGCACTTCGTCAAATACCGCACTCCTGAAGATGCCGCCAACGCCCAGCAAGCCATCCAATCACAATACGACCAATTGGGTGGAAGCTCTCAAGCACATAATAGTGGTGTTGCCCCTGTGCACAACTTTGCTTCACAGGCTCCTGTTCGCTCGCCAGAAGTGCACGCTCCCCGCAACGCTTACTTGCCCTCGTCCATTATTCGTTTTTAAATGAGGCTCATGATAGATGGCCCAGCCAGTATTGATTGTTACCTATTACCTAATTGAAGAACTGAATTATTAAATTAGTTGTATGAATCATATTAACCAAACTGTTATGAACTTTGCTTGTTACTGTTACTGCTAATAAATAATTGGAATATTGTGAAAACTATGAAGATTATACAAAAAGTACCTAGAGTTTTAGAAAATTAATAAATGTATAGAATTTATAATAACAACCATACATCAAGTATAAATAGAGGCCGAACTTGATTGGAGTAGGTTGCATGAGGAAATTTATTAGCAACAAGAGTTTACGGGGTGTGCATAGCTCAGTGGTTAGGGTTGCTGACGTTGCACATCTTTAATGCAGGTTGGATTCCTACTGAAGTCTAGATAAATAAGTCTGATGAGGATATATGGTGATCTGGGAAATAGCAGCTGTAACTTTTACCGCAAAGACATTGTTGCTTTTTTCATTTTTCCTCAAAAACACAAATCTTCGTACAAGTCTCAATAATGCTGTTGAGAGTAAAATAAAATAAGACGCTAGTTTTTTTTAAGTCAGGCTAACCTAACGGAAAGCCAAGGGAGTGCTACACCCCATAGTCGTGCTTCAGCCCTTGGATTGTCCGGACTCTTTATAGGCACCGTGCCTCTATCCAATTAGTGTATGTCTGATATAAGACTGACATCATTGCAATCAAGGAAATCCGATGAACGGGACACGGCTGCATGAAATTTACATCATGCGACATCTTGGTGTGTACTCTAAAAAATCTGTTTAAAAATGCGACTATAAATCGAGTTTATTTATTATCTATTTATTTTTTATATATTTTTTCTATTTATTTTATATATGTTTTTATTTATTATTATTTATTATCATTGTTTATTTTTAGGATTTTTTGGTGAATTTACATGATGAAAATGTATTTTTCTCGTTTACACATTTTCGTGTGTAAAAATCCTTTTTGTTAGCGACTTTACACAATTCTACGCGTGAAATCAAACAGCAGATGTGTATTTTGTAGCTTGTGCACACTTTCGTAGTAAATTTACGCACACCACAGCAACTATATTACACTCTAGAAAGTCCGAAATTTAAACGAACTATTCGTTGAATAATCGAGCATGTCATTTCGCGAATAATAAGGTAGGAAATCAGTAACCTACATTTTAGCTAGGAAATCTACACAAAATTTTTTGTTTAGAATGTGGGATTTCTAGTTGAGCGAAGATTACGAAACCTCGTCTCCAGGTTCACTTCCATCATTGAAAGAACCGCAACGATCCGCATTAAAGTTAAATTCAACCACTTAAGCCTCATTTGTGTCAACACCTCGACTGAGGAGAAGGACGATGAAACTAAATAGTACACAGAAGAAATGATCCAGGTAAGACGCAAGTTTGTAAAAGAAATTGTAAATTAAAATTTTTTGATATAATTTTACTTCGTACAAAATAAAAAAATACAGTATTTGTATTTACGACTTTGAAACGAAACATTCGCAAAATATAAACGATCGTTGTAGAATATTAACATTTTTACTGAGGAGAACAAAAACTAAAATGAAACATTTTAGAATATTGTCCCAAAAAGTAGTAGTGCGACACTATTTTCAACAAGTAAAATAAAACTAGACATTTTTAAAATAAAAACGTTAATTTATTTATAGTCAATTAAGTATGAAAACAAAATTATAATTAAAATGTTTTGCAATAGAATTTAAAATACTAGCTAGCTATCATTAAAAACTTACATATGTTTGCATCAGTGTTGGCAATAATCGATTGATTTTTTAATCAATTAGTTAATTCGATTAAATTCAATCCGATTACAGTTAATCATCATTAATTTTAATCTGATTAAACAGTTAATCGTACCCGCGATTAAAAAAAATAATTTATAATCATTAATCCTTAATTTGATTAAGAACGTTTGGTGGTTAATTAATTTGTGCTGGAATTTTCCTGTGCACCCAAAGCCAGTTAATCGGGTATGGCTAATGCGGGTTTCCTTGTCAATCTAAGCAATTTGGTGTGCATTTTCATTAAGATCTATACCAACAGACGTTTTACAAAACTATGTTTTAATATATAATAATATAATAGATATTTTTTTATGTTATGTGCTTTTTATAAGCGTAAAACACAAAATAATTACTATAACTGGTGTTTGGTTCCAAATTCATACAAACTATACAACTTAATCAGATTTTCTTTTTATTTGGATTAACGATTAATGACTAAAATTAATTAGCAGTAATCGCAGACAGCGATTAACGATTAAAAAAATAATCGTACAGTTGATTACGATTAATTAATTTTAATCGTCAATCGCGATTAACATTTTAATCGTTAAACAGATTAACATTTTGCCAACACTGGCTAAGCTATGTTGCACACCCGAAGGACGAGGGCCTTCATGTGACACCTCATTTTTGAAAATCGGACGAACGATACAGATTTTATGACTTGGTGTTTAATAATTAACGCAACCCTCTGCGGCAGATAAATTTTGAATTCGGTTTTCTAACATGTGGCTAGTCCTTTCATGGAACTAAAGCTATGTTGCACACCCAAAGGACAAGCCCTTTAAATTTACACCTCTTTTTTGAAAATCGAGCGAACGATACAGATTTTATGACTCGGTGCTAAATATTTAACGCAACCATCTCCGAACTCCAGTAAGAAGTTTCACTTCAAAAACACTCATGAAGTGCTTAGGGGCTGTCCATATATTACGTAAGACTTTTAGGGGGGGGGGGGGGGGGGGGGGGGGCGGATCTAGAATTTTCTTACTTTTTCTTATATGACTGGAGGGGGCATCCCGTAGATTCTTACGTAATATTATTTTCCTTGTATTCTTATTCAAAATTGTTCTTTATAAAATACGAAAATTCACCCAATTAAAGTACTAAATTGCATTGAAATTAAAAATATACATTAAATACGGAGGATATTACAATTTTTTACAACTTTTGCTTTAAATTTTCTATTTTTCTAAAAAAACGTTGCTCTTCGGTGTCTATTATAACCGAAAAATGCAGCTCGAACACAAACAGGGGAAAACTCCCTTACGTAATATATGGACAGCACCTAAGCATTCACAAAAAGCTTCACTTGATCTTTTCTGAGCCTCAGCGTCGAAGAGCAAAGAGGATAATTTCACGACGCGGGCGAGAGCTCATGTGTGTCATCACAGAAAATGAAACAGAGGATATTGTTAAGTGGGTGAATCAAGAAGAAATTTCAGTGGACCGTGAAAATGATATACCTTTGAGTGAAAAAGAAGTACGAGATCTCCCTGTGGCTACTCCTCTTTCAGATTGGCTGGCTGGACCGTGGACCAAAGAAACCGACAAAAAAGAATGACTAGTATAACTATGTAATGAAGGTTTTAAGACTGACTTGGCATACATCCTATATTTGTTTGATGGAAATATATAGTATTTTCTAATGTTTAATTGAAAAAACATTTCTAGGGGATTTTTAATCTTACGTAAGATCTGCGGCGGGGATCAATTAAATCTCACAATTTATTACGTGAGGGGAGGGGGGGTTCAAATCAGGCGAAAACTCCCTTACGTAATATATGGCATTGAAAACATGCACTTTGTTAGGACCACCTGTTGCGCTTGCTTGTGCCTTCGGCCGTGCTTAGAGATTATTACTCTTTTTAAGTAGAATTCTCCTTTCTGTATTGCCGGAGAAGAGGGGCTTCCGCATGTCAAAGGTATACAACATTCCTTGTGCATATCACTCCGGCTACGCCATCCACAGTATTTTTGCGCAGAACCCACATCGAAATTTGCAAAAAAGTGCATAGTGCAAACCGAATTTATTAATAAGCTAGTGGTCGGAAATTTGAAACCTTTATTTTAACCCTAGAATACTAACGTTCGCCTGTGAGGCGGAACGAATTCAGTTTCCGCGCGATATTTCAGGAACGCTTTTAACGCCGCTTTGTTAGGTGGCAGTTGCAAATAAATGTATTCTATTTTATATTACTGATGTGATAAAGTAACTAAAATATTTTATAATAATACTACGTTTCTAAATACATATATGTTTTTAAGATGTTTGCTATATAATTTTACACTGTTTAATTCATTACAACATTGATCGATTTCAACATGGCGGCAGCTCAGCGTTGAACTGTGAATACTATCGGCGCAACTATCTCTATTAATCGCAATTTAATTTGTTTACATTTATCAGCTGATCATTTGGCAGCATATTCATCAAGCCTTGGGTTCAACAGTTGTCAACAGTTTCGTAGCAGATGAGCTAAACAGCTACGTCTTATGAACGCCCCCATTGTAAAAATAACTAAACCGGACACAAGCTTCTCGATAAGGGGCAACAAAGATTCTTTTTTGCTCGATTATATAAATCAGTGTATAAAAATATACGTATATGCGAAAGGCAAATTTATCTGTTTAAATGAACACCACTAATATTTCCTACAAACACAAATCGATTTATATTTTTTATCTCGCCGCCGACACAGAATTCGTTTTTAGGCATGCTATAGTTACGAATTTCGAGACTTATGGTTACATGTTTATATCTTGGTAACCGCTGCACCAATTTCTTCTAAAGTTGGCACAGTTATTGGTACCGATACAGCATACCAAATGCCCGAAAATTTTTAAAATCGGACAATAACCACGCCCACATCTCATATAACGGTAATTTAGAGAAATACGAAATATTCGATAAATCAGTAAATATTAAAGCTAATTTATTCAAAATTGATGGTTACAACAATTCTTAACAAAGAAATATGTTTGTGATAAAATTTTGGAAAATGAGCGTGGCACCGCCCACTTATGATCACATATATGTATCTCGGTAACCGTTCTACCAATTTGAACCAAACTCGGTATGGTTATTGTGCTTGCCACATAAAAGCAAACCGTTGAAAATTGTTGAAATCGGACTAAAATTACGGCCGCTTTTCATATAACGGTAAATTTCAGAAATGCTTGAAATTTCAATATTTCGAAATTTAAGGACGCTAATTTACTTGAAATTTATACACAACGGCGGTAGCTTTCGGAAATGTGGAAAACATATATTTAATACTTGCGCCGGGTATTTAATGTTCGGCTCCGCCCGAACTTAGACTTTCTTAGTTGTTTAATATAGGCTTATTTTGAAACTTTTCGAAAAAATCATGCGACTTTTGCCCCTTTTCATTGACTTAAAATTCTATATACACATTTTGACAATTCCTTCATAAATTATATTTTTCTTACGCGTTAAAAATGCTTTTAGTATTTACTTTTCAAACGAACTTACAAATCACACCTCTGGCGAGATTCTGACTGATTTCAACCTTTTTATTATGTCAAACATTTTCCGAATAAATGCCCAGAAGTAGCATGAATTAATGCACCGTTTTTGTAACTTAGAATTTCCCCCAATTTATTTGTGTTAAATTTATTATTTATTTAATGATGTAAGTACTTTTTTTAAATGATGATATCAATTAACAATTTATTAAAAATAATGGGGCATAGTCATAGATGAAATAAAGTCTACTCTAACCAGCTTTTCCCTTGAAAAAGAGCTAAAACTAACGTTAGAGGCGATTTTATTTCGACTATGAATATGCCCTAATAAGTTTCGAAAGATAAAATAATGAAAATCTTTACATACATGGTATAAAACATTTAAATGACTTGAAGACACTTTTTTTCAGCTGTGACAATTTTTTTGCGACTTTCAAAAAATTTTCAGCGGTAACACTGTAGCGGGAAATGCAAAAATTGTGAGCAATAAATCATGATTTTAGCTTTAATTGATTATTCGTGTTTACTGGAGTTAGCGAACAGTGAGCGTATACACTAACACAAAACAAATGAACAGATGCCCTAAAGTGTTCTTACACATTGGCTGATAATATGGCAGTACGGTTTGGTAGCACTGACAAATGAATGTATACACAAACATATATTCTGCCATTGCTTCTTTTAACTTGCTTCAAACAAATTTCCCATACGCTAAATATTTGTTTAAGTGAATATTATTTCGTTAAAATATACTTTTACCCATTAAGTGAGCTCATTTTTATAATTTCGTCTTCCTCGTGCTAGTAGTATAAAATTAGTGCTGCCAACTCCAACAAGAATGATCCAGACCGTTTCCGTGAGAAATGATCGTGATACTGAGCTGGATAACCCAAATAAACACAGCTATTGTGTAAGAACTAGTGATCGGACTTAAAAAAATATTCTGTGTGGTAGAATCTGGAAAAAATGTGGTAGATCTCATTATTTTATTATAATAAAGTGCAGGATTCAAGTTGAGCTAAAAATTGCTTTGAGTTTTGGCACTTTTTTCCCTTGACAGTGTAGAGCAGTTTTTTCCATATCAAGATATTTTTCGAACATATTTTAAGAGATATGTGCAACCTTGCGGAGGGCTGCCAGCTTTTCTTTTTATCACATCACGATGTAGCGAGCAAATGTGGCACGTTCCAGAAACCGCTACTTGTGATTTACCGATTTTGTCAATTCTCAAACAGCAACAAGTAAACAACGCCTCAAAAATATTAGATGCACTTAAATTTTTTAAGCATTTTTAAGTTTTTTAGCATTTTCGCCAGAAACTCTTTTTATAAATCATATATTTTGCTATTTAACACAATAAAACCCTGTTTCCTGTCGTAAAATTGATTACTGAGAAAATTTACTATTTTACTGTTTATTTTATCCTCCCATTCGGGTTTGTTTACTTTTACCTGAGCAATTTCATCGCCGCCGAGATTGCGGAATGTTGTTGTATTATATCATTCTTGTTATCATATATTGGTAGTGTTGGACAATTTTTGCTCTTAAAATTAAGAAGATTTTGTTGAGCAAAAATAAAACTACTCAAAAACGCGAATATTTGGTGGATTTCTGACCTTGAGTGGTAGATGCTCAAAAAGGTGGCAGACCAGTTGTAAGAAATAAGCAATACGGTAGCGGCGCTGCTTGCAGCGCTTTTTTACATGGCTTATAGGCCTTATAAAAAGGTTACTATACTCCATGTGATGCCTTATTATAAGGGATTATATAAGTCTTATTTTATATGACCTACATATAAGACTTAGTTAAAACAGTGTCTCTCAGGGAGAGAGAGAAAGAACCTTATAAACTGACGGCATCAACACAGCGAGTTGAGTTGATTCAAACTCAACATTTGAAAGCACATTTACATACATGGCTGTAGCTGAGTGTGCAAAGATTCTTGATATAATTGGTTGCTACCAAAGCTGTGTGGGTTCAATCCCATTCTTAAGGTTAGTATTCTGTTCACAGTAAGAAAATTATTTGCAACAGCAATGCAGTTCCAAACAGAGCAAACAGTAGCAAATATGAGAGAGTATGGTTTTTACTGAATAAGAAAATTAATATGACAACAATAAGGAATCAGTTTTACTTAGTTCAAAAATTTCGTTAGCTTTCTAGCAAAAAAAGGGAACTTAGTACCAAAACAGAAGCTAGAAATTGAACATAAGCTAGGCACACCCGCCAAACATAGCTGCATATACTATGTTAGTGTATGTCCGAGCTTCTCCTCCGATTCGTGGCGTACGCCTTGATGTTGTCACACAATAGAGGAGGGACCTACAGTTTGACGCCAACTCCAAACGGCGATTGAATTTTTTTGAGAAGAAAGATGGAATAAATATGTACACTCGGAGGTTTTACTACTGCCTGCCGAGGAAACCGTATGATCATATAAAATAAGCTTTATATAAGGCGCAAATTTTTTGGAGGATTGCCTGCTTCTTCCCGCTTAACGCAGCTTTGTACATTTGGCACACAGCGAACATACACACAAACAGCCTTTTTTTGAAAAAGTAAGAAAGTTTGTTTCATAAATTTATGTTATATTAGAAAATAACTAACTATTTTTTTTAATGCAGAACATAAGTAATCATTTCAAAGTTTAACTAGAAAGAAGAAATATTTCAATCGATTTATTCGTTTTTGATTTATAGCAGTTTTAAAAACATGATTTTTTACTACATTTTGACATATTGACACGCCCTTTTTATAGGTTCCTTCAAATACTGTTGAATTATTCCCAGATAGCTAAGCTTTTGCAGAGAAAAAAGATGCCGCCTACAGGGCCACGCTGCGATCGGGCGCAACGCGCGCTATGTGGGACCGCTATAGGGATCTGAAGAGGGAAGCGAGACGTATTTGCCGCTGATGTCCAGAGCGTACTTAAATTATGGAGGGAACACTTTTCCGCCCTACTAAATGGTAGCAGCACGGAAAGTTGTGGAGAAGAAGAACCCGAGCCCGCAGTCGATGATGACGGAGTCGACGTTCCACCGCCTGACTATGACGAGGTACGTATAGCAATAACGCGGCTGAAAAACAACAAAGCCGCTGGAGCTGACAGCCTGCCAGTTGAGCTATTCAAGTACGGCGGCGAGGAGTTGATAAGGTGCATGCATCAACTCTTGTGCAGAATATGGTCAGATGAACGCATGCCCGACGACTGGAATTTAAGTGTGCTCTGCCCAATCCACAAGAAAGGTGACCCCGCCATTCGCGCCAACTACCGCGGGATCAGCCTTCTAAGCATAGGTTACAAGGTCTTATCGAGCGTATTGTGTGAAAGACTGAAGCCCACCGTCAATGAACTGATTGGGCCTTATCAGTGTGGCTTTAGACCTGGCAAATCCACCATAGACCAAGTATTCACAATACGCCAAATCTTGGAAAAGACCCGCGAGAAAAGATCGACACTCACCACCTATTTGTCTACTTTAAAGCCGCTTTTGACAGCACTAAAAGGAGTTGCCTATACGCCGCTATGTCTGAATTTGGCATCCCCTCAAAACTCATACGACTGTGTAAAATGACGTTGAGCAATACCACCAGCTCCGTCAGAATTGGAAAAGACCTCTCCGAGCCGTTCGCCACAAAACGGGGTTTCAGACATGGCGACTCCCTTTCATGTGACTTCTTTAATCTGATGTTGGAGAAGATAATAAGAGCTGCAGAACTGAACCGCTCAGGAACAATTTACTACAAGAGCGTGCAATTGCTGGCTTATGCCGATGACATCGACATCATCGGTAACAAAAACCGCGAAGTCTGTTCTGCCTTTTCCAAGTTGGATAGGGAAGCAAAGCGCATGGGTCTGGTGGTAAAGGATGACAAGACGAAGTATCTCCTGTCATCAAACAAACAGTCAGAACATTCGCGCCTTGGCACCCACGTCACTGTTGACAGTTACAATTTCGAGAAAGTAGAGAATTTCGTTTACTTGGGAACCAGCATTAACACCGATAATAATGTCAGCATTGAAATCCAACGTAGAATCACTCTTACCAACAAGTGCTACTTTGGACTGAGTAGGCAATTCAGGAGTAAAGTCCTCTCTCGACGTACGAAAACCACACTCTATAAGTCACTCATCATGCCCGTGCTGGTATATGGCGCAGAAGCATGGACAATGACAACATCCGATGAGGCGGCTCTTGGGGTGTTTGAGAGAAAGATTTTGCGGAAGATTTACGGTCCTTTACGCGTTAGCGACGGCGAGTACCGCAGACGATGGAACGATGAGCTGTATGAGCTTTACAACGATATGGACATAGTGCAGCGAATTAAAATACAGCGGCTCCGCTGGCTTGGTCATGTCGTTCGAATGGACACCGACGCTCCAGCTCTGAAAGTATTCAACTCGGAACCCGCTGGTGGTAGCAGAGGAAGAGGGAGGCCCCCACTGCGATGGAAAGATCAGGTGGAGAAGGACTTGGCTTCACTTGGCGTTTCCAATTGGCGTCAGTTGGCACAGAGGAGAAACGACTGGCGTGCCAACCAAACAACCATTTTCAACTCGGAGCAGTCTGTGCGAAGTTATTACATTACATACATACATACTTTGGGACTTTATTTTATAAGATGTATAGATATTTCAACATCTGTATTTCATTTATTAAATGTTGTAACTTATTTATAAGTATATATCAATATATTTTTGGCAATGTATGTATCAAACGACTTGTTGTGATTTAATAAAACTAAAATGTGCATATCATATTTGAAAACGCATATTTTTAAAATGAAGAAGAAACATTGTAGGATTTAGTTTCAACATGCGCATATTCAATTATCAAACAATGTTTTTTAAAATCGATTTGAAAATGTGCGTATCAAAAACAAAAACATGGATTTTGGAAATGGCACTGAAAGATTTCGTTCTCAAAATTTAAATAAATATTACAAGTGCAAAACCCTTTTTCAAACGCTTTTAAAAGTAAAACTTTCCATACAAATTTGAAAACGAAGATTTCTGTGTAGTCCTACGATCGCTTAATGGAAGCATATGAGCACTGCCCTGGCCACGATGTTAAAATCGTTCTGGGCAACTCATGACAACACCTCCGACAGTGGCGGAGTTACGGTGTGGTTTTCAGGTTCAACAATACTCAATATTGTGTTCACGTGTTCGAAAGCGTTTTGATTGATCGTCCAGAAAAATCCAAATAAGTAAGAAATATCGCACAAATATATTGTACCTAGTTCAATGTCAAAATTACGTTTACTTTTCATTTGGTTGGTTGGTAGGCAAAGTAAAATTTTGGTCGGATAGTTAAATTAAGTTTTTAAATTGTAAATTATAAAAATATATATTTCAAACATCATCTTGCATATAAATATTTGTCAATTGTAACTCTTAAACATTTGCCAATCCTGCCTTTAAATATAAGAAACCTAATTGGGTTGTGCACTGATGGAGCCAATGTTATGGCTGGAGACTTGGGCGGGCTGAAAACATTACTGAGTGCAGAAGACGATTTATTTTATACTAGAGTGCCAATTACTGTCGAATTTCGACAGTTCGTTCTAGTTTTAGAAGCCTTGGAGAGGTTTTCTAACTTAACACGTAGAAAAACTTATACGGTACAAATTAACTAACCGGAAAATCTTTTGCTAAAACGTAACTAAATTGTTTTTTATCTGAGAAGGTCTTTGGAGGACTTCGGCAGGACTTGGAATTGACCCGATACATTCAAGTTTTTCAATTTCAATGATTTGATACATATCGATAGTTCGATGAATTTCAGGAACACTAAAATTCGATAACTCCACAAAATTCGTTAACTCGATCAATTTCGATAACTGTGAAATCGGATGGCTCGATAAATTTCGATAACTCAAAAATGTAAAAACTTTGGATACCTTTCTAAATTTTTACATTTGACATCTCCACATTTTTCAAAAACTATCTAAACATTTTGAGAACTCGTTACACTCTGTTAAGATGATTAAATTCGATAAGCAGTGATAAATCGACAAGCTTATATAACCTTGAAATTTCGATAAATCGATATATTTTGAAAATTCCATAAACTTCGCTTCGTTGAGCCAACCAATTTCAGTAGATCAATAATTATCGATAACTCTGTAAGTTGAAAAGAACTCCATGCATTACGACACCTCGATAAATTTCGTTAAGTCTATAAATAAGTCTGATAATTCAATAAATATCGATAAATTGATACATTTCTTTAACTTAACAAATTTCGTTAATCCCACACGTTTTTATAGCTCGATAACTATCCGTAAATTTAGACAACTAAGTTTCTTTGTCTATAAATTTCGACAACTCAGTAAACATTGATCAGTTTGAATAATTCGATACGTTGCGATAACTTAATAAGCATGGATAAATTTCGATAATTATAAGCTTCGACGATTCGATAAATTTCAGTAACCTGTATGGCCGATTTTATTTTGATTCCTATCGGAAAATTTCAACTCTGTTAACCTAATTCTTATGTATTTTTCATTGTCTCCATTTTCGCCTTTATCTTAATTTCCGTCTTTATCTTCACTTTAGCCTTTTTTTGTCTTCATCGTTATCACTTGTTTCTTCATCTTCATATTTATCTTTATTTTAAAGTTTAATTTCAAATACAAAGTAAAACAAAATGCGAAACAGTTGAGTTGAACAGGTGGCAAAAACAACCATACACAAATATGGAATATGGACGATTTTCAACCAATTTAGAAACTGTAAAAACTCTCCTCATCTACAGAAAATTACCTTTACAACGGTGTTTTTGATTTTGAAATCGGTAACTTTACCTTGGTCGTCATATTTGTTTTTATCTTTCACATCTTTGCTTATATCCTTTTCTTTTTCTATTCACGTAGATGAGATGAGGTGCGATGACGTGATAAGATGTGACGTGATTTTATGTGATGTAATAGGATGTCATGTCATGTGTTGTCATATCCTCTGATGTCATGTCATGCGATGTCATATCATGTGATGCCAAGTCATGTGATGTCATGCCATATAATGTGATGTCATATCATATAATGTCATGTCACGTGATATCGTGTGATGTGATATCATATTATGTGATGTAATATCATGTGATGTCTCTTCATATTAGTGATAAAATGTAATGTGATGTCATGTAATGTGATTACATTCCATGTTACGATTAGTATATCGATAATCCTGTTGATAACTGTGTCGATAAAAATACCGATAACAATATCCATAAACATAAGGAAAAATACAACAATTGTAAAATCGATTAATTCATCGATAAATATAACAATCATCAGCATCGATTATTGTACATATCGTTAACAATATAAATGACTAAATCGATAACAAAATCAATTGTTTAATCTATTATTATACCGATAACAATATCCGTTATTGTATCGATAACAATATCGATTATTATATCGATTACAATAGCGGTTATTTATTCAATAACAGTATCGATAACAATATCGATTATTTTATCGATAGCAATATCGATTATTATATTGATAAAAATATCGAGTTTTATATCGCTAAGAGTATCGATCTTCATCCTCATCCTTTTCTTCATATTTATCTTTATTTTTGCATATTCCTCTCCACCTTTACCTTAAAGTCTTTAAATTTACTTTGATCTTCGTTTTTGCCAGTACCTCTAGGGATCTTTGTTTTTGTTTTTATGCTCAAACGGCTAAACCGCTGAGAACCATTTCCATGTGCATTATTCCCCTTGAATTTGAGAATTTACACCCAACCAACGAATCGCCGCTAAAGAAGTTTCACTTCAAAAATACAATACATTTGCTTACCCTTTCAGTTAACCTAACTCTTATGTATTTCT